CCCCCCTTTAGCTGAAGATTCAGGACGAGAAGGAAAGGTAACCCCAGCCCAACATGTAAAAAGAGTGGCTTAATCCTTGAAATTGGGTGTGATATGTAGCAACATATTACCCAATAAAAAGATCTTTAAAAAAAAAGTAACCAAATTGCTATCACCTGCTTCAAGAATTCTTCATCTGTTTTCAGATACCCAGCTTTTACTGCTTCCTCCTTCTCCTCATTTCCTGCACAATTCTTCAACAACTCAAAAATATTGTTGTGCAAGTTCTCTGCAACGAAATCTACAGCCTTCCTGCCTCCATGTCCATCATAAACTCCGAAAAAAGCCTGAAACTTGGCAATAAAAGTACCCTCTTAGTAAAACAAAACCACCTTCTAATGGAAATTTTACATCTTTCTTAATTAAGCTCAATCCAGCCACCATTAAATTGGAAATTTTCATACTTACTTTGTTCGAGTTGCCCTGTGAGCAAGAAACAATCTTGTGGGTATCTTCCATGAACTTCTTCTTCCCTTTTACAGCAGATATCCCGACACCGCCACCACTGAAGCAGACCGCGTCATTCTTAGGCGTGGAGTCTCTGAATGCCAGCTCCTCCGCCTGGATTTCCCTCAAAATATCCGGAATCTGAATCTTGGGCGGCCTCTTCCGTTTCAAAGAAGAAGAGGACGCTTCCACAATCAGTTTCTTCTCCTCCATTAAGTGAAAAGGATGAATGTGGGGAGAAGAGAAGAGAAGAGAGGGAATGAAGAGGAAGAGGCAGTTAGGTTTTGGACCTTTGGGGGCGTTCCGGAGAGGAGTCAAAACGGGAAATTAGCAGCTCCGAGCCGTTAGAGGATTGGTCAAAAGTTTGAAAGATACGAAGGGTGCGACTTTGAGAGGGAAACGTTCCAAAATAGGGAATTCATTACTTTGTGCCGTTACCCGACAAGGTAGGCGTAGGCTAATAAACAATCAACGGCACTCTGACATGGATGTATGCATCCACTAGAACTAGCCTTAGTGGATGACATAAAACTTCTCGATTCTTCTTATCTTATTTCTTACTCTCATTGGTAGATTTTGATTTTTTAAAGGCAAAACCATAAGTTAAGCCCCTGAACCAACCCCAGAATCGCTATTAAGCCCCTAGACTCTAATTGATGCATATAAGCCCCTGAACTCTACAATCTGAGCAATTTTGCCCCTCCTCTCACAGTCAACTTAACTGCTGTTAACTGCCATTTGAGGACTGCATCGTGTGGCGAAATGTGGCTGTCATGCCTACGTGGCAAGCGATTTTGCATC